TGCCATCCGGGTAGGAACCCAAGTATGGATCAGGTCTGCGATCTGTTGAGCAGCGTACTTGGTGTTGTTGGTCTTGTCCAGCAACTTTCCATCCTGTCTGGCTTTGCAAGATGACACCTTGTCAAGATCCACCCCTTTGTTCCGTAATTGGGTCAATAGCTCCGTCATAAATACCACAGCTGCAATGTCCCCCGTAGGAATCAGGTACAGTTCACGCCCATGAGCCAGCTTCCGAAGCCAGAAGTTGTTGGCCTGCTGATATAATAAGGCCGCTACCGGAAGCTTAAGTGGATCGCATCCCTCGATGTCAAGCTTTTGTGTAAAAGCTGAAGGTCGAATACTTCGAGGGAAAGTCAAGCCGTTGATCTTCTGATTGTCGTAGTGGTCTTGATCGTCTTGCCAGTGAGGGTTGAGATCGAAGCCATATGTACGACTTTCATCAGTGGTTGTCTGTCCCCCTGGTGACTTGGAGAATGGAGTGCCGGAATGGCGAGGTTGTGACGACGGGATTGATGGAGTACTGGGCGAAGCCAGTTGAGTTGGGGCACATGGAATCGTAGGTGAACATGGTGGAGTGGCAGAGCTGGATTGACGTGGATAGGCAAGTGTTGGTGGTGGTGATGAAGGAGGTGCAGGTGGAAATCTTGGATTGGTTGGTGGAAATCTTGGATTTGGCCATGTAGGCATCGGAGCTGATGGATGCATTGATGTAGTCGTCATATAAGGTCCCGGCTGGCGCATATTGAACTGAGGTTGGAACTGAGGTCTGGACTGAGGTCGCAACATCTGTTGAGAGTGCCAAATCGCTGATTGCATAGGACCACACCATCGAGGAAAGAACGGAAGATCTTGCCGTACAGGGGGGCGAGAAGGCTCAGGTTCAGCTCGATTTCGACCAGGTGCTGGTGAGCGGGATCGATCAGACTCTGCCATGGTGGCTTGGGCAATTCAAAATTACTGATGGATCAAAAAGGCTGCGGTGGTTGCAACGATTGACAGGATGAAATGAAATGGAACATCACATTTGGGTAAATGGACCCTTTCAAGCAAAGTTGGTATGTGCATCAAAGCCACGAAGCAAACCTACTGAAAAGAAAAGTTCAAAAGAATGAGACACAAGTAAATGGGCAGGTCAGCAGTTGCAATCATGCAATTTTGCCAAAGCGTTTGTCCAGGAAATCCCTAGAAAAGAAGTCACGATCCTGTTTAGGACAAGAAAGCTAAAGATACACGCTCTGAGAATGCTGTCTCAAGGGCTCAACGTTTATGTTTGGCTGCATGCCGTTCCTCGTTGGCTCGATAGTTGACATTGTCCTCAGAGTCGGTGTCCCTTAGTTCAATAGGGCGCCGCGCAAGTTTGTCATCATCCTTGAGGTCTGACCATTTAATAGCGATGAACTTCAGCCCCACGTGATAGCTGTGAGCAATCGTGTACTTCTCAGAAGTGGTGACGATTCCCTTTTTAGCTACATTGAGCTGACATTTCTCGTTCCCTCCACCGCGCAGTGAAAGATGTTCCACTGATCCTCTATAGATCGCCCCAATGGTGATCTCTTGCTGGCCTTTTCCTTTCTTCTCCATAGAATCGAGCAGTTCTTGTTCTGCCCATGATGGGAAGTTCTTGTCAGCATTGGCAATCTGTCGGCCTATGTAGAATGCTCCAAAGGTGGGCATGTGACATCGCTGTGGATTTTTGTGATAAGCCCAGTTTGCTGGTCGAATCTTGCCCTCCATAAGGATCAGCTGTGCGGTACTGAGGGTCGTACCATGGCCAAGTGCCCATGTGACGAGGGTTTGGCCGCCAAAGGGTGGGGGCATTTGAAACCGGCTCATTTCTGGCAACGGCATGACCAAGGCCAGCATGCCTGTTTGTGGAAGTTCTCGAACATAGCATGTGGACATATCAAAATCTGTCAGGATGCCTGTACTCGACAATAAATGTATGGCCTTTCTGCCAATGTCTGTGGGGATTCTCGGGTCCACGTTGGTCAATTCTTCCATCGCTTCATCAAAATGCTCTTGGACAATACTCGTGGATGGTTGCGGAAGCTCCTTTGCATCAAGTTCATTTGCCGCTCTCATCCGATCAGGATGGGTGAGAGCATGTCTGACTTGGCGAGCCCATTCCTCTTTGGAACCTTCTTGAAGGTTGATGGCAATATGGCCAGGTGGAAGAGTGGAAGCTCGGGAGTGAGCGGAACCAGAGCGATTGGGATGATTGCCCTGGTTGTGGGAGTGCTTTTCCAGCGAGTATGCCGTCAAAGGCTTTGAAGGATACTTGGAAGGCTGTTCATCATAGGATTGATGTTTGTAGTGTGGCTTTGAAAAGTCGATCCATCCGGAGGGATGCGTGTAATATTGAGACTTGGACTGGTCTTTCCAAGACTGCCAAGACTTCCACTTTTTGGTGGAGCCGTAGTCAGGGTAGGTGGAGTAGTCATGGTAGTCCGACTTGTCGGAAGTTGAAGGTTGTTCGTAGGGATGGTCATGCCAAGATGGAGGTTGCTGTGTAGTGGATGAATAAGTATAATCATCACGACGACGATGTTCATCACGTTGATGTAGGTCTTCACGATGACGCGGGGAGTTGGAACGAAGAGTGACTGACTGGGGACGGCATGGAGACATGGAGTCATCACGTGAGCGGGAACGTCGACGATGGTAGCGGGAACGGCTATCCCGTCTGTGACGTTTTGGACTTCTCGGGATCGAAATGGGACGTTTGTCCACTTGAGTCGGAATGTGTTTTGACCGTGACCTGGAACGGCGATGAAGCCGTGGAAGTGGTGGCAATGGGACAACGGGCGGAGGCTCTGCGACTGGAGTCGCTGGTGGTAGTTGTACCCCACTTGCATGAGGACTCTTAGACCTTTCTTTGGTCATTTCCATAAACGCCTGCATGCCGGATTCCACTGTGTGGCGCATCTGTTGCATCATCTCTTCTGGATTGAAAGTGGTATGTGGCTCTTGTGGAGCGGGTTGAGATGCAGTTGGAACAGGAGGAGTCTGGACTGGTGGCACCGTTGGTGGCTCAGGCACTGATGGAGGAGTCTGATGAGATGCGGTTGGTCGGGAAGTCTGATGGAATGGGAGAAGCTGCTGGAGTTGCTGAATATGGGTCTGAGCTTGGGAATTCAACTGTTGATGCAGTAATGCATTTTGGTCCCTTAACTGAGCCAACTGAGCTTGAGTCTGAGCTTGTGACTGAGCTTGAGACTGTTGGTTCATCAGATCACCTCCACAAAATTGACCAAATTGTGCAGCAGGTTGAGGTGAGGTAAAGGTAGGCGCTGACCAGCCACAGTTCCACATGTTCTCCGAAAAGTTTGGCCACCGACCAGGAAACATGGCCAAAAGATTTAGCAGGTCTGGCAGCACTGTCAGACGATCACTATGAAATTAAAACATTAACATTGGATGCATCCACAACGCATGCAGGATTCGTGATAAGGCTCAAAGGCCCTCGGCTGTCAATTCACAACCCTCTGGACGGCTTACGTGTTCAACCCCTGAATTAAGTGCACAATTGAACCTCACCAACGACCATCAAAAGAAAGAAAAAACCACACCTAAAGCATGTCCTGTTGCCTCTCCTGATCATGAGCATGATGCATAATGCTGAGCATTCTCTCGAGCAACGTTGAAAAGGAAGGTTGTCGCAGCTTCAGGCTATGCAGTGAGAAGTCCACTGAAAAATTGAAGCCCCACAGCGGCCAGTTGTTCAACCAAACGACAGCGACAGGGTGAAAAGCGAAAAAAGGCCAGCAGTTCACTTTACTTAAACGAATTACTAATTCAAAAGTGTAAATTCAGACATCGTTTTACTGTCAATTGTTAGCCTGGAAAGGCTTTCCCCGAAGGGTTCCTGCCAACTTGACGTGTACAGCAGGAATGACACACTTGCTCAGAAAATGTCTTATCGAATTTCTGTTGTGGAGTGCATCGGGCGTGCACAAACAATCTCCTAAAGTCTGACAGGCAAATTGGATGACATGGCGAGAAAACCAGTGTAGAAGAATTCTTTCTTTGTCCATGCAACAAGCAACTGTTCCATCTGACGAAGTCAGCAGTAAATCAGATTGCGAAAACCGTACATAGGAATTGAAACCTGTTACACTCGAAGTTCAGAGGAAGGTCCTGATGCAGTAAAAACCCAAAATGGAAATTGGAAACAAACGACGTGCCGGTACTTGGCTTAGCCGGTCGCCATTGACGAAATTGGAAAATGGTGCAGGTACGTCCAGCTGGCCAAGCTGGATATCCCATTTCACTGGTAGCTTCGTTGGACACAGTCCCAGTGAAATGCTGTGTCCCCCTGCAAGTAAGATGCAACAGCTAAAAACTACGAAAATCAACCATCATCGAGCCACAGGAAGTTTTACATCTTTTCAGATGTTCCACACACACACATGTATATAATATACATACATTAGATTAAATATACAATAATATAAATTGATACACTAGAATATGTACTCAAACACATCTGTACGGAAGCGCTATTTAACAAGCTAGTGATAGCTAGATCGCCGTACCATCCCACTGGGAGGTCCCTCTATCGCAGCACTCAAAAATAGTACTCCACTACCATAACAGTAGTAGTACTACAATAAAAGTAAAAATGTGCTGCAACAATAACAATAATAACGCTGATAACAAGAATAATTGTCTAGCATTGTGACTAGGATGGGTCATAACCAGTAGCATTTCCGTTCCTAATGTGTCGAATCGAGTTGAACTCTTGTACTATAGTGTACTATATATTATAACCATGGCCGTGTTTTTTATTGTGCCGCGGCCAATCTTAGATGCAAGAAGATGCAAACATGTTTTTTAGCTGGTAAGTAAGTATATAAATAAATATCCCCATTTGCAGCAACAGATTAAGATGATTAAGGTACCAAACTCTCCAAGGTTTATCCGACTTGCCTTCATGGACAGGTTGTCCGATTCCAAACCACCACAGGCTTACTCTGTGAGACCCTGATGAATCAAGTCACATCAGGCTGAAGGCGCTTTGGCTGCTCATGATGGCGTGCAGCTTGGGTGATGCATTCCCCAGGTGATCTGCTGCCCGCCTAACAAGAAATGGAGAGAAATGGGGGGATGCCTTCAAAGAAGATGTTTTAGACATGCCAATCCTGCAATCAGCCTGTCTTTGCCCAGAAGGTTTGTGAGAGAAAAACAACCATTTCCAGGGAGACGCTGGGATGAAATAGCTGCAATGCCGCTTGTTTGTTTGGCTATTTCAACGAATCCCAAAAGATATGAAACCCGAACATGACTGGATAATATCCCATCCAATACTTTAGAGAATGACCCTACAATGCTGGGATCTGATCCCTGGGCCCTGGAAAGACCTCAAATTTGTCTTTCCATCAGGTGCACTAGACCGTGGTTTGGTTTGTGGGAATATCATTACTGCAAACCAAGGTTCTTACCATCAAATACAGGGGTTGACCCTGCAATTCTTCCTATTTAACTCATTCTACTTCCCAAAGTCCTAACACTGTGAATATTGAAACACCGTAAAAAGGTTTGGGGTGTCCCAGTTTGCGGATCGAAATTTGGTTCAAGAGAGACTATCTTGTGTCCAATGTGGATTACACAACAGCTCTGCTGCTTTTCTCCAGGGGTTCTTGATCTACAGTATATACCCTCTGGTAATTTAACATAGCTATTGAAAATGACCATTTATAGTGGATTTTCCCATTGAAAATGGTGATTTTCCATAGTTATGTTAGTTTACCAGAGGGTAACTGTAACTTCAGAAATTGAAGGATTTCAAGAGCATCAGAGTCTCGACCCGTGAGGGCGTTGTCATTTGCCCAGGCTGTTGCAACTGCAAACACAAACAAACGTGCAAGTAGAGCCCCCCGAATCAGCAGCCAGAATTGGACGTTTCAGCCTCATGTGGCTTGAAATCCAAACCTACCCATCCATCAGTCGCAGAACTGAGATGGAAAACTTACAAGAAACCATGTTGTTTTGATGGTTGAATCTCGTGGTTCGATGCAAGGGTCTCAAGAGTTTCTCCGACCGTATCCATGTACACTATCATGGCCAATCTTGGATACCTTGCAAAGCATGAATGTGTTTTATTAGTTGTTTAGGATATTATGTATATATATATCCCCATTCGTGGAAAGAGATTGGAAAAAAAGTCATCAACTTATCTACCCAGGCTTCCCCAGTTTGTTCCCCTACCCTTTGATTTCCGTCACCCTTTGACGCAGCCGCGGCACTTGTGCAGTTTCTCTTCCTTCTCCGCTGCTTGACGCATCGTGGACTTCTCCTAAGGTTTTTTTTCCCATGGCGATTTCTCACAACTCGAGCCATTGGTCGATTCTTCAGAGGATAAGTAATGGTGACTTTGATGTACCGTTAATAATAATAATAAAATCACATAATACCATCAAGTCAGGATTAATTGATGATAAAATCGGTCGGAAAATTGAGGGGTTTGAAAACCCCCAATCATGTTCCCCACCTCAATGGCGATTTATGGGATTAGATCCATTTATGGGATTCTAATATATTCTAATGGCTATTCCAGTGGCTATTTCCTGGATATCTTCAAACAAACCCAGATTTTTGCAGCGACTCGCCCAGGCTCTGATTTCACTTCAGCTTTCTTCCAGTCAGAGGCACCCAAGGTTAACACCTGCCATACCAAGTGCATGGTGAATTCCAAGGTTTTTAATGGATGTACCACGAGTTTTTGGTTGGCCAAATACCCTTTTTTCCCAAGATGATGTGATGATGTAGTGACCCACAAGTGATTTTGTTCTTGTTTGCTCGCAAACTTCTAACAAAGGCACATCTATGAAATGAAAACCGTACCAATTACTTTCTAACGGTGGTAATGTTTAAAGCGAAAGCCCTTTCTTCAAACGACTGAGCAACCATTGGGCATTGGTTCCAGTATGTTCTACCGCTTGTTTGCGAGGGATATTGAACCAGTATGAACCAGTGATGAATAGTAGGACCGTCCATCTCTTGAGCTATCTACGACTCTGCGATACAAGGTTTGCTACTGCTAGCTTGAAATCATGCTCGGTGAAAAAGTCTCCTGAGTGGTCAAAAAGATCCATACTGTTGCAGGTCAATCAAGCTCCTTTCTTCTTGACACATTGTTTGTGTGTGTACCCCTTTCGCCGCTAGTCACATTTCGTACCCAGTCAAACCCATGCGTGTTCTGAAGTTTGCTAGCACTTTTCCACATGATGTTCTCTTCTTAAACCCCAATCCCGCACGCCCCAAAAGACCCGGAAATAAGGTTTCTGATGGTTTCCTGCAAACCACAGTCTTTAAGTCCTCAACCGGTTCAACTGCACCTATTTCTGGGCAGTGATCATGTTCACTGCACATTGAAATGAAACCATGAACTGTGTGGGTTTCCCCGATCAAAGGTAACTTTGCCCATACCTAAGGCGATGAACTTCCCACTGGGCGACTCCCAGCGACTATATAGAAGTGGTTTATTCTTGCATATTTAGCATAACCCACGTACGTATGATATGGAATATCCCCGTCTCTAATTTTAAATAGTAATTCATAATGCGCTAGCCTGAATGGAGGCCACATTGGGATAGTTATCCCTTCTATTCACCGTCATTCCGACGTCGCGAAAAAAAAAAAGTCGTAAAAATGAAATTTCTCCGAATGTATCCCCATGATATAATATGATATAATTGCCCGTTGTATCCCCATTCGACCACCATCTTTGATGATGAAAAAATCCCAGTGCTGAACCTCCAACTCGGCGATCACCGTGACCAACTTGTCCTGCACCTCACCTCAGCGAAAGTCCAGAATCCCATCGGATATGAGGTTGAGATGGCAAAATCTGGTGGGTTTCTGTGCATATAAACATGGCTATATTATTATGTGTATATATATATATACACATGATTGTCATATAATGCAATATTAAAACATAAAACATATTGAAACACATACCCTGTATAATTATAGTACATTATAGTCATGGTATACATTGTACAGATTCTTGTATATATATAATTTATATATATATATATCATGTGTTCTGATGCCAGCAATACGGGCAAACACCTTCCCCCACGGCATCCTGCCGAGTCTTCGCCGGCATAAAACCCAGCAATGAAAGCCCGGTCTAAAAGCCTTGCCTTTGGAAAGCATTGCAAAAGCCTTATGAAAAGCATATAGGGTCTAGAGCTATAGAGCTTTATTGCATATAGACTTCATACAGAGAGTGACAACTTCTTCACCATCAAAGCCTACGACCTGAACAGACCTGAACTCTTGGTTGACCTTGGATCTGGGACAGCATGACTCGTCCAAAAATCACCTTGTAGCTGCGTTGCACTAGGTGATACTAGGTGACTCAGCTGGCGTTGTGTAAAAAAAGGCTACCCATGGCTAACCCAAAATTTAAGTTTATCAATGTTGATCATGTCAACATTGTCAATGTCACCATGAAAAACCATCGAAATGGCTATGCTAGAAGGCCATAAATTACAGAAGTGGCCACTTCGCCGCCGAGACGCCGAAAAACTTGTGCCTTAGCAGTTTTTGGGTGGGCAAAGAAATGGATACAGGACAGAGATGGACAGAGGGAGAATCACTCTCGAATGTAGACTAAACATGGAACGAAACCATTAAAAAAAAGCATGAAAAACCATGGTGCATCTGTCGGCGGGAGCGCTCTACGCGTGTTTCCTCCGATTTCACGGTGATCAATCTCCTTTTTTCCAAGATGTTTGCTCTGGGGTGATCTAATCTTCATCCATAGCACTGTAACATTTGAAAATTATGTAAAATCTTAGATACCTTGCAAAAAAAACATTGGTTAATGAGTCTCCCCATTCAAGGCCAAAGATAAAAATACCAAAGTACCCATCCTGAATTGGTGTTGGATGTTTTAGTCACACGGAAGCAGCAACAGGGCTTTTCAGTCAAGACTGGCATCTACAAAATGGAGATTTCATGAGATTTCAGTGTCATGGGTTCCAGCGAGCTTAATCCTATCCCCCTTTAAACGCAAATACCACCAATAAGGGAGACCAACATGAATAGATCCAATACTTTCTAGAGCGAGGGCTTCTATGGATATTGAATATATTTGAATATTGCGGGGGGGATTCCCACAAAATCTTCACCAGGTGGCTTGAATGGCATACGAGGACCTGGAGCAAATTCCAATTGCCTCAGAAGCTGCAGATTTCTGCAGAGACGGGTGTCTATCCTGTTGGTCATCAATCGCCCCTAGACGTCGATGAATATTTAACATGGCTATGCCAGGGCCCGTGAAAATGGATGAAATTGGATGATTACATATGATGATTTACCGTTCTTAAAAATGCTGGTGTTCCAGTTCGCTATTAAATAACTATCAATGATACATCCAACATATCCACCAAAATATCCAAAGCCACCAACCAGAAAATCGACTTCGAAACTCCTCGCAACGAGCCAAATCTGGCCCAGGGGCGGAGCAGTGTCGCCATAGAACTTCTGGCAAATGGCAGCCATACCCTCGACCTGACGCTGTATGGGACCATCAAGTAATCACAGGGATATTTTGAAGGGGAAATCTACAGTTGAAGGGCTGGGAAATTCTTCAATATTGGAGGATGGTCCTAAAATGTTCGCTTCGACACATGGGAATCTCCGACGTTTTCTGAGTTTCGGCCCCATACAAGTATCGAGATTTGTTGAACACTTGAAACTCTACATGTCTCTGGGAGAAATTTCGAGCCATTCCCATGTTCCAGCGGATCCAAGCGGCATGTGTTTCCCCTACTGACCAGGAAAGAAACGATGGAGGTTTGGTTGTCCCGCATTTTTTGAGGACCTGGGTATGTGTCCAAAATCAGGTAACAGTGGACCCATCAGGTGTGTCTTTTGTTGTATTCAAGTGTTCATTTTGGATATTTTGGGGGGTTGAAGATGCTGACCCACACCCACGTAGGAAAATCATCGACGGGTTATATACTTTTTTCAGCCATGAGAGGTTCCACTCGGGATCTATCCAGCCAGAGTGTCAGAATGCTTCATCCAACATCTGCGGCTGTACCCCCTATAAATTAACATCGATATGGAAAACACACCATAAATGTAGGAGATAATTTTCATATAGGAAAACAACTATGGATTTGAAATCTAGATTTTCAGATATTGTCTTGTTAAGTGACTGGATGGCATCCATTTCAACCTCCCAAAAAGATGCCAAATCACTAGAATCAATATTGTGTTGGGTATTCAAATGATTCCCAACCATCTCACTCAACAAAAAGTCCAAAAACTCCAAAAGTCTCGCATACCCCCAAAAAATATCAAAAATCATGTTTCTATCGAAATTTCAAGAGTTAAAATACCGTAGGGTAAACTAACAAAGATGTGGAAAATGGCCCATATCATTTATGGATGAATTACCTGCTAAAAAAGTGTGATTTTCCACATCTATGTTAGTGTGCCCCACAGCCACTCCAGTCAAACCTGTCAGCCATCGCCTGGTCGTGCTTTTGCTTCATGGCCTCATAGTCGCCCTTGAAGAATTCCTCATAGCAATCCTGCCATGGAGCCCTGATTGGGGATTCGGAGGTCCCTGGTGAAAAATATTGGGGAAATCTTCTGTAAATATCTGGAATATATATATATGTGAGTGTGTGTGTTTTGATATATCTATAGTTTAGTTGGGGGTGTCCAAACCAACAACAGGATTCTATGGTTGCTATCTTCTGCTTCAAAGACCTGGTGGTTTAACCATCAACAGGTGTTTACCCTGTGGCAAAAAAAAACCGTTTGCCATGGAAGCCATGGCCCATATAGTTCGATGATTTACCTGTTAACTGTTTGGTGATTTAACAATGGTGATTTACAATGTTAACAATGGTTAATTTACCTCATTAATAATTAGCAAACTGTTCAATTGCCAGAGGGTAAATGGTGGGAAGCGAGCATTTGAAGGGACGTGTCATGAAAATAATGCTTGATTATACTGGGATATAATTGGCATCTAATAGGGATTTGAATAGGATTGTCATGGGGATAGTCCGGGGGTACACTTTTGCACTTGGTGCTTCAGTGAGTATCATCATCCGAAACAGGGTTGAAAATGTCATCCAAAAAACGACTGAAACCACCCAGTTTTGTCCTCAATGGTCTCCAGCAAATCCTTCCTGAGTGCAGCATTAAATCACCGCTTGGACAAAGTCTGTTTGGAGTGGCTAACAGAGAGCACATATTCCGATGACTGATAAGAAGCCTGTTGGGTGTGAAACAGTGATAAACCATGATAAACCAGTCTTTAAAGGTGAAGTTTCGACTTCCCAGGCTACCTCGCTGGCTGCGAATTGATGGGCTCGAGCCAGTACGATACATGGGGTTACACATGCCTCACGATATATTCCAGGGATGAAACGGTCCATCTCCATCCAATCTCCTTTCAGTTGAGAAATACCGAAGCCGGGTGGCTTCAGTAATCCTGGTACAGCAAATTGGGTACCAGACAACTGGGAACAAGGCCCATCACACTACCGTCACTACCCCAATTCCATTCGAGCTGAGGGGATTGTATATGCGCATAGACCAAAATATTAATTGGTGCGCCAGATCTTAACAAATATCAAACCTTTCAAACCCAGTGATCTGCCGTTCAAACATACTCAATATCCAATGTTCCAAGCCCTGTTCTATGCAGCCGGAATATTCGAAATGGGAAAACATATCGATTCCATATCATAAACATCATGAAACATCTATAAATCCACCATTTATCCACCATTTATCCATTATTTCTAGGGGTTCCCAGCATTTTCTGCTGATCCCCGTCGGCCCAGTTTTCAACGCCGAGAGACATCGCCTTGACGGCCAGGTCACGGGGGGCGTGGTCCAGGAAGAGGGTCCTCAGCATATACAGTGTATACATAGAAAATACATACAAAAATATCTTGTATACGCACGGTGTTTCTATTTTATATATTATTATTATTACTATTATTATTATTTTTACTATTATTATTATTACTATTACTATTATTATTATTATTACTATTATTATTTATTGTTCTTATTATTACTATTATATATATTATAATATATATATATATATGTATTGTATGATATTGTATGTGTAAAAGTACTGTATATGTATGTAGAGGATGGATTCAAACTGAGTACTGCGTCAAGGGATGGATTCAAACTCAAGAAGAATTACATTTGGGTTTATCTGAAAATGGGGTACCCCCAAATCTACTGGTTCACAATTTCCCTAATATGGCCATTTGGGGTTATCCTCCCTTTCCAGACAAAAGATGACAAAACCATTTGCTTATGTTGCTACGAGCAAAAATTCAGCCAGACCAATTCTGTGGGTGTCTAAAAATGGTGTATACCCTTCAAATGGCCCTTTGCAAAATGGAAATGATGGGGAAAAACAAGAGAAACCAACGAACCCGAATGCAGTCACGTAAAACATTTTTGTGAAACAAGTTCCTGAACAGCCTTGTACATTTTACCAATTTTCCGCTGTTACCGTACCAGTGCACTGTAGACAGTGGAAAGTGGAAGGGGTGGGAGTGCCAAGTGTGGAGTGTGAAGAAAGTGGAGTGTTGAGTGGGGAATGTAGTGTGTAGAGTGTGAAGTGCGGATTGTGGAGTGTGGAGTTTGAAGTGTGGAGTGTGGGGTGGAAAGTGTGAAGTGTAAAGTGTGGAGTGCAAAGTGTAAAATGCAGTGTAAAGTGTGAAGTGTGGAGTGTAAAGTGCGCAGTGTGGAGTGTAAAGTGTAGAGTGTGTAGTGTGGAGCGTAAAGTGTAAAGTGTAAGGGGAAAGTGTGGAGTGTAGAGTGTGCTAAATACTGCGCCTGCCACGCATAATGACATCCCACACACGACAGATCTTCACCAAATGCTGCGCCTTCCACGCAAAATGAGACTCTCACGATGTCCCACGCCTGCCACGCTATTTGCAGGTTGTCAACACTTCGCGCAACTCTGACAAAATGACGATGGAGTTCTCCAAAGTGCTGCGCCTGCCACGAAAAATGCAACTTATCTTCTGAAAACGACGCGACAGTATTGCGCCTGTCACACAAAACGACTTTCGACACGTTATGAAACATGTTACAATGTCACATAGTGCCACCCCTGCCACGTGAAACGAGGCTACGCGACGTTTGAAACCTCCAAAAGTAACCACTTTTGCAGAACTCGCCACAGGCACGGCCATAGCGACCTCATTGCGAACGGTTGTCGACGGTTGCCGACGGTTGCCGACGGTTGCGGACGGTTGCCGACAGTTGCGGTCGCAGAAGCGGCATCGAGCGAACACGTCTCCACCCCCAGACCCCCAAAGTAAAACGAGAACCTTTCGCTACGCATTCGGGAAAAATTGGGGGACCTTTTTTTTCCAGCTGTCTTTTCGGGGGGTTGCTAGTTGTGGGGGGTTTGGTCACCTAATGTTCCTACATGGATCTACAGGTATCATCCAAGGCAGCCTGGGGCGCCCTCTTTTGTCATCATATTCTCGGCCAGGATCATTTTGGGTCGCTACAACTGAGAGCTTTCAGTCTGCAAACATTCTATAAATCAAGAGATGAATTCATTTCTCAAAAACGTGTGTTTGGGAAACTCAATTCTTAGCTCAGCTCACAGCTCCCCATTGGAAAATAGGGAACATCGAATCACGGTCGAAGCATAACTCCATTCAGCACCGCTCCCTCCATTGCTATGGCCAGTCGCTCGATCAACATACGCATCAGGATGGCCACGGTGGTTTGTCCGATGATTTTGTAGTTGCCTGGGCGGGCTATGGCTATGGGCCATTTGGGGGCCTCCAGTCCACCCGGAAAAAGTGCGGGAATCATCCAGTGGTTGCAGGGGTGGTAAAACTATCATTATAGTTTTGCCAGAAACTCGTTTGTTGATATCGACCCTCCAAAATTCGAGTTCTATGATATCATGAGTGGGTTTGCCGGTTTGAAACATTAAGTTTCTGAATCAAAAGCTTCAGGTAAATCAACACACCGCAGAAAAGATGCCTGCCATTGGTGATCCTACGCTTTACAAATCGAACTGTTCCGTTGTGGGCGTCAGCGGTTGTACAGCCTTCAGGTTTGGATTCCACTGGATTTTTTAAAGGAACTCTTCATCGGGACCATGGTTGCAGGTTAAAAGAGAAAATGGTGGCAAGGTAACACGAAGTATCTTTCAAATATGTTCTAATCACTAATCTGTATTCAGGCAATTGAAATCAATGGACTTATATAATTAGTCATTTTCAAAATTGAGTAATTTCAGGGGCCTAGTTTCTCCGGACAGCTTGATGTCATGTCCATCTCTCCGCTTGCCAAGCCGCTTCTCATGTGGTAGTTGAAACCAAGTTCGCCAGTGCCGGATGCGTCACATGAAACCATCCTTAGTCAGCCCATGTCAGCTGATTGCAAGGTGATTTGTCTCTGTCCAAGCATGGGAAAGTCGCATGGCTCATTTGCTTGAGGTGAATCCCCCAAAAATGTGCTGGTCACTTGGACTATCGTGCCTGATGGCATGCTAAAAATATTGGAACATTTGGAACCATCAACCAAATGATATCGCTCATGTTTGCTTTATCCACACTTGAATGACTTGAATGATTCAAAAATATATCTGCGAGTAGAATTATCCCTTGTTTCCAGCTGAAACGGAGGCTTTGCACGAATTGAAACAACGACGTGGCTCGAGACGTGGTTTCATTCTGCCGGTGAAGCCCGGCCGGTCGTCTCGAGATTTTCACCATTAATGTGGCCCCAAGATAGGAAGCTAATCGACAGATATCGACAGATGCTTTTTGTATCCTCTTGTGCCCACAATTGGTGGATCAACAGGAAAACCCCATCTCTGGGTGCCAAGAATCAAGGGGTAGGCTCCGAATCCGCACAGGGCGCAGCCGACAAAGCCCCAGTTCTTGGAGGAGTAGTAGACCTGCAAACAGACCCAGTAAATTAATAAAGATCAATTGATGCTGTAATATGTCTGTATACACACATTTATAATATAGTAATCTTTATATAGTTATGTATATACATATGTATATACATATGTATATACATATGTATATACATATGTATATACATATGTATACGCGGGGGGGTTCTGAAAGTAGGGTACTCCCAAAATTGATGGTTCATCGCATTGTCCATCTGAAGAGCTATTTTTGGTATATTCCATTTTCAGACACACCCATATGTATATATACAATATGTATATACATATATAATATGTATATGTATATATATAATATGTATATATATATATAATATGTATATATATATATAATATGTATATATATATGTGTGTATGTATACGTCTATATATATATATTATACATAATATATATATATATACATATACATATACATATACATATACATATATATATATACATACATATGTATATATATATATACATATAATATACATACATATATCCCTCCTGGGCGGCTGCAAATTACGGAGGATATCTTTAAGATGCGTTTCAAAAGGTGATTTGTGCACCGTCTTAGGTAAGCGCAAAAATGCCATGAGACGCAGATAATATCAATATCTTGCATGCTCGCAGTGTGCAAAAAACACGCACAGAAACAACACAGCAGATTGCAGTCCCGCATGGAATTCCGTGGATTTCGGGCAAACGTCAGCCCCCTAGCAACATAATATATATATATAACAATAATAATAAATAATAATAATAATAATACTAGTAATAATAATAATATCTAATATAAATATATTATAATAATATATACAAATCTGATACTCCCCATATACTTTTACCATCCACCTTGTATCACAAGATAGTATCCAATTGGCAGATATTTACCTTGCTTGATGGGATCCTCATATGGCTTCCCAAGTATCGGTTGTATATGAATGTATATGGATGTATATGTATATATATATATATGGATCTATCATGTTGTACTCCTGTTTCATAATCTGTTTCATACCTCCGATGGAGTTAATCAAAACTACAGAAATCCTCACCCTAATCACAAAAAACCTTGCCAGAAACAGTGGTTTGAAATATTGGGTCTCCCGAAAACGCTGGGATCGTCACAAGGATGCATAAAATCAGCTGATCATCAGATTTGGCTGCGGCACGTAAGAGAAGGTCAAGAAGTACAAGAACACCAAGACACCTTGGCTGAGAAACGCAGTTGGAAGACGATGTTGGAAACCCAACAATCAAAGGAACATTCTGGCTTATTTACAGGATAATTAGGGGAAATGGCAGGATACGTATGATAAAACCAACCCCAGATTAGACCAAGAAAACACGCTTTACTGGGGATGTACTTGTAATGAGCGTCATAATGGGTACAACGAGGTCGTAATGAGATGTAACAAGGTTCTATCATCCGGAGGCGGTGCCATGGGATTTTGGGGGTGCAGACCCCCACCGGGATGAATATGACAATGATCAGTCATGGTAGGCAATGCAATATAACCCTTGAATCAGATCAACATTGCTGGTGCCACTTCCCATGGCCGTGTCAATCCCATGTTTTATCGTTGCTGGATAGATATCAGGCACACCACTGGAGCTTGATATCGAACCCATGAATTGCAATTTCATGTAATGTCCATGTCCGAAAAGTCCTCTTGCAATCTCACTTCTTAGCCTTCAGGGGTGCATGTTGCTTCACCCCCTATGCACCAATCTTGCTGCAAAATGCCTAGTTCTTCTTGTTGATCCCAAATATGGTCTCAGCTCATGAAGAAACAATATTCGGTCCTTGACAGTTGATTTATGTTGATTTCTTCTTAGTAACACCCTAACTTTTGCTGGTTCATTCCCACCTGTTGTTGGTTCTCTCGTGTTTTTAGTGAAAAAAATCATGGAATACTGACTGGTAGAGCCACCAGTCTCAACATTAGTCATAGAGTCACAGGTGATCCACCAATCCCCAAAATATAGAGGAAAAAAGAGAAAAAATGCAACCACCTATCAGAGTTTCTGGATCCAAACGCGATCAGGATTGTTAGACGAAAGTCAACCACCTTCCAACGACGATTCTAGACATATTGGACTGGTTGAAACACATATGAATATGGTAATGAAGCACTATGAATAGTCCGTGAATGATATGACCATCCCTATGAAAATGGATCGATGATTCCACTTAACTTCATCCCAAGAACTGGCTACACAATCCAACTCTAGCACCAAAAAGATAGAAAAGTGATTGACCACTATGTATTTCAATAGGATGTTTATGTATGTTTATGTTACTTTTCTATCGTTTTGAGGGTTGCTATAGCTTGACCATGGCATGCATATATATCATTCTCGGATTCTTCCCCCAACTCTGACCGAGGTGCTTTGCGTCACGGTACGCATCCAAGAGGCACAGTCAAACCTGAGGGGGCAAGAACTAAGGGGAACCAACTAAAAATGGTGGTGTAGCTCATAGAAACTTGGGAATTTAATCGATTTTAAGGGATTTCAGTGGATTTTACATATAATGGATCTTAATGGACCTCAATGGATGCAGTGGAGTTTATTGACCGAAGTGTAGGATTTAAGCAACTCACAATTTTGGGGACTCACTTCAAAATATATACTTGAAAATGGTTTCAATGCACCAAAAAGCTCGGAGGTTCAATTAACTCACACAAATTTGGGTATCCAAAGGCAGGATGTAAGCAACTCAAGCGTGGAAAAGTTTGGAGGATCGAGCGCCAATAAAGAATAATCACAGCAGGGAGTCAAGCCACAAAAAAGTATGGGGAACTAACATGAATTGACCAGCAGAAACTTGGGGATATCACATGTTTGGGGAATTCGCAAAGGCTCTCTATGCAATCAAGTGTATCCTTAGTACAGATACATTGCACCTGGACCACCTAAAAACTGAACTGTGGATTGAGTAACAAACATTCGGAATTAGTCAATTAAAAATGATGGCTTTACTATCAAAACAAGATGTTTTCAACTAGAAATTGAGATATAAGGCTGAACCAAATCAGTCGTCATGAAATGAGAGATGCAGCTAACAATAGCTTTGGAAATCAGGTCAAAATTTAGGAGCTGAACTGTGTGGAACCATCAAAAAATGGGACTAACAATGGTGAGATGATTCATGGACACATCAAGTATGATCAATAGTATGGGGACCAATTTACCTATCAATAGTATGTCAATAGCCCCTATCTGCAGGCCAGATTTCTGCAGGCCCAGATTTCAATCATTGCCATTTTTTTCAGGAAATTTCAGAAAAAAAAACAAAAATCGACTCAGCAAATCCAGGTGTTTCTGAGAATCAAACTGATCGAATTCTTCAATCCCTCTGTTGGTCACATCATATCACATCCCTCTGTTGGTCACATCTTTTCTGCTGAAATGCCAATGATTTGCTAGCTATATAGGCTATATGCCTGTCACTTGATGACTCAGCTCGCTTTCTTGCTTGTAATATCACCGTAATTTTGTGCTTAACTTCCCATGTTCGTTGCTTCGACATGGTTCTTGAGAAATCCTCCAGTTTTGGGGTGACGTTGACCATTGTTTAATCATCAAAACGTGATGAGAATTCCCAAAAAGGAAGAAAACAGTTATCCGTTCAATTTAGTGACCAAAAGGTAATTAATGTTTATATAACTGCCTCCAAGTTGAGTTACGTATAATGTTGGTAAATATTATTTATATAACTGCCTAAAATCTCTTCAAATAATATCAAACCCCTGCTGAACTTGAATCTCTGCACCCTGTTTCACCAGGCTGCGAGAAGACAACAGCCAAGACCAGCAATGGGATCACATTGCCCAGCACCTGCAGTACCATTCGGATGCCACAACCTTCCCTGGTGGATGATGAGGTTTACCGCATTATTGGGATCAGCATCACGTTTTTTGATAGAAAATCGAATCGTGACCATTTGATTTTTTGTCTAAATCAATTCGATGAATTGCTGGTATCAAATGGAGAGTTATTCATGAAAAAAAACGCCGAGTACAGCCCTATCTATAGAATCAGGTGGTTTCATCGAAAATGCTGCAAAGTTTCCATATAGGTTGAGGATGAAAGAATACTGGAGGCAGGTCTTTCGGGCAAATTACGGATGCGATACTCAAATTTGAGGACATGGATAAGTGTCAAACCAAATCCAGATGGCTTGAGATTCAATGATCCCTTCCACCTGTAGTAAATTCCCCAACATGGAAGACAAATCCAATACGAAACCAGGGTTGCTAAGAGGTACCTAATATTAGGGGGAAGGGATTTTTCCAAATGACCCCAATCCGAAGCTCTTGTTGGATCTCTGATTCAAAACCCATCCATGAAAAGGACTCCAGCGAGTATCTCGCTCCGAGTTCTTTATCCCCTTGTCCCCCCAAAGCTGCGGCACCAGTCCAATCAAACGATCGATGTTGCCTCCGGGCCGTTTTCGTGGAGCTGCGCTGGCAGTGAGAATGAGGGCAACCTCCCAGCCTTTTGAGTTGCCAATAGCATAGCTACTTTTTGATCTTGCAAGGAAGTTACAAGAATATTTGAGTTCAAGTTTGTGTTCCTCCAAAAAAAATTGGAAATTACATGGAAATTCTGCACATATGTTCGCTGGGTTTCCATCGGAATATTGAAAATCAAAGCGGCCATCTACTATGAGGAGTAGAGTCAAACCCTGTTCGTGCAATGCACATCAGAAAGGGAGCCTCATCTCTCCCAGTCGTAAAAGATAATCCCAAAAGTACTCTCCATTTTGCTTCTGCGAGTTACGACCACCCTTAATACCAATAGTGCCACACAAGGCAGTGGCGGAAGTTTCAAAAATAGAACGCTATAGGAGAGGTGAGTTGTTGTGACGCATGGATGGCAGAGCGAACCCACTGATGGACCGAAAGGTGGTTGGAGTTGTGTTTTTTGGAATGGTTGCAATGGTTGCAGTGGTCACCTCACCCACAACTGCTGGATGTAGTTTGCTGCAGCGCAGCTTTAGATGTAGTTGTAGTGTGGTGGAATTGTAGTTGTAGTATAGTGTAATTAGTGTAGCGTAGTTGTAATTAAAGTACTAGTTGCGGTGTGGTGTAAAAAGTGTAGTGTAATGTAATGTAGTGTAGTGTTGCGTAGCGTAGTTAGTCTAGTGCAGTTGTAGTTGTAGCTGTAGCTAGTGTAGTGTATGTAGCGTAGCGTAGCGTAGTGGAATTAGCATAGTGTAGTGGAATTAGCGTAGTGCAGTGTAATGTAGTGTCGTTGTAGTTGTAGCTGTGCTTGTAGTTGTGGTTGCAGCTGTAGTGTAGTGTAATTAGTGTAGCGTAATGTTGTGTAATGTAGCATCTAGACTATACTGTATAGATAATGATATTCTATACTTATATTACTCAACTTAACGAGCGAGGAGCTAAAACAATAACTCTATATTTTTGGGGGTTACAAGGTGGGTCCCCCCAGTCATTGGTTTACAACCCCCATTGACTATAGCATATAACTCTATTTACCAGAAACCATAGAATTCACCGAATGCAAACTGAACCAACTTAGTCGTGGGGCCCCACGTGGTACCATTCACAACGGGAGATTTACCAATGAATCTATAACTGAAGATGTTAGAAGTCTATAATTTTTCCAAGATCAACTTATCACCGAGGTTACTACAAGGCTTAGAAGTGATACCGAAAAAGTATCCCCTATAACTATCAGATACTACAAGTCTTTAACTGATATTTCTATATTTCTTTGGGGGTTACAAGCTGGGTCCCCCCCCGTTCATTGTCTGGTTTTTTAACCCCAATTTACATCTATTTACTATATGACTATATAGCATCTATAGTTCTATCTACCATAAACCATAGTTATTCACTTTGTGACCTGTGAAAAACTACAAGTCTTAAATATGTCTAATGTTTTCTCATTTGTAAGTTATAACTCTTTTAAAACGTGACATTTTGGAAACCGTTCGCTCCACCCGGTGCCACCCGGTGCCTTTGAAGGTAGAGCCATACGAGGCGGTAATGATCAAAGCCAAGGTTCCAGGCATCAGGGCCGCATGGGGCACCTGAGAACAGAGAAGCCAAAGTGATTTCTTAGGGGGAGAAAACCTGGAAAATCCCTGGAACCCCTAGAAAATTGCCATGAGTTGCTTAGAAATCTGCGGGTTGCCGTGAGTTGCCCAAAAATAACAGAAATCCAGTCTTGGATGGTTATTTTTGGTGCTGAACCATTCCACCTTCGATGCAATTTACTTGATGAGCCTCGAAATGTCCAGCACGTCCCTCCAATATTGGCTATGTCAGTTCTGAGGAGTGAAAAAATTGTTCTCCAAAGCCGTTTGTTTGGGTGTTGCATCTTGGTTTTCAGCTGTGGATGACATAGTATGACCCGATAATGAGAACACAAGCCAAAAATCTAGGTAAAATCTCATAGAAGCATGTGGTAATCACATGCGAGTGGGATTAGGGGTAGAACTAGCATGCCCCCAACAAATTGCCTGGTGAATGGATGTTTGCGTATCATCCAGGCGAATTTAAGAATGTCGGAATCATGGGGCTAGAATCTCCCAGATCTCAACCAGTCCATGGCACAAACAGGTGATCAACATCTGAATCTGCAAAGTACGCCTCAGAAATCGGACGCCACAGGGCGGCGCTACCAACATGTTGGTTCAAGCAAGGACCTGACTTTTGATATGTGCAACGGATAAATCCGGCATCAACACCAGGGTATTGGGGAGATGATGTCGAATATGGTGCATCCTCGCGGTCATGGCAAAATTCCGAATTCCCGTCAGTGAATGACTGGTAGTAGGGATACAATCCGTGGAACATGCAAATTGCATTTTCCTTGGTTTGAAACCAGACTTTGGTGGCTGTACATCCTGTCCTCGCTCATGAGGCAGGTTTGGATTTGAACAAAATTCACCACCATTTCTACAAGCGAGTGGAAAATCTTGGCCACAAAAACATACAAAATCAGCATCTTTACATATTTGCTCCAGAAAGGGTTCAAAAAGTCTCCCGGGTTCCGATTTGATCCTTAACATAGCCGTTGCCATTCCTATAAATGCCTATAAACCACTAATTTTCGTCCATCTAAGACCGTTAGGCCGTTAGGCAACTAATACCGGAGAATCTGTTCAGTTGCCCGCCGGGATGATGCAACAAGCTGGGTTCAAGGCCAACGGTTTGGCCCAAATCGGGTGTACCCTCCGGTATTCAAACGTGGCAATGGGAAATTCCCTATACATGGCGGTATTAATCTGATTGAATAAGAAAATATTCTACAAATTACCTTACTTAGAGTGATCCCCACCGTGACAAATTATTTTGTCATAGTTTCTGACATCTCATCTGGAAGTATATACGGAACATATTTTCTGAAATTCTACTCTGGAATTCTATCTGACATTCTATTCTGAATAGCGCGACAGGGGTCACATTCGCCCCTACCACAGGGTCACATTCGCCCCAGGGTCACATTCGCCCTTGAACAAGTCATTCAACCTTAAGGGTTTGACCTGGGGGACAAGGGACATTTAGGGGGGACTTGGGGACATTGGTTAGGGAGGGAATGAATTGGGGACATTGGTTGGGTCACTTGCCTCACCATTGAACAAGTCACTCAAGCTTTTAGGGTTTGATCTGGGGACAAGGGGCATTTAGGGGGGACCTGGGGGCATTGGTTGGGGCGGGACGTGGGGACATTAGTTAGGGGGGAACGGGTTCACTTGCCTTTTTACATGTGTACATTACACTACATCTAAGTTACCACTGGCTATCAAACACATCTGCTACCTCTGGCAAAAAAATCACTGCAATGAAAGCGTCGTCCTCACAGACATTGCAACAACACATGATGGAAACGGATGTTACAACGTAGCATCCAGAGCGTCTTGGAATTTGAGTGAAACGGATCTTACAACATAGCATCCAGAGCGTCTTGGAAGTGACTTCAAGTCGATGTTACAACGTAGCATCCAGAGCGTCTTGGAACTGATTTCAAATGTACGTTACAACGTAGCATCAGTAGCATCTTGGAACTGGCTTCAAATGGATGTCACAACGTGGCATCTAGAGCGTCTTGGAAGTTGATTGAAAAGGATGTTGCAACATAGCATCCAGAGCATCTTGGAAGTGACTTCAAGTGGATGGTACAACGTAGCATCAATAGCATCTTGGAACTGGCTTCACATGGATGTTACAACGTGGCATCCAGAGAGTCTTGGAAGCTGATTGAAATGGGTGTTACAACAAAGCATCCAGAGCGTCTTGGAAGTGACTTCAAGTGGATGTTACATCGTAGCATCAAGAGCATCTTGGAAGCTGATTGAAACGGATGTTACAACGTAGCATCCACAGCGTCTTCGAAGTTGCTTCGCATGGCTGATACAACGTAGCATCCAAAGCCTCTTGGAAGTTGGTTGAAATGGATGTTAAAACGTAGCATCACAAGAGTCTTGAAAATTGATTGAAACGGATGTTACAACGCAGCATCCACAGCGTCTTCCAAGTTGCTTCGCATGGCTGATACAACGTAGCATCCAGAGTGTCTTGGAAGTTGATTGGAATGGATGTTACAACGTAGCACCCAGAGTGTCTTGGAGTTGCTTGAAATGGATGTTACAACGTAGCATCCACAGCGTTTTGGGAGTTACTTGAAATGGATGTTACAACCGTAACACTGGAAAAAGACGCTGTAACTGACTGTCACAGCTGCAAAACAATCCTTTCGAGACTCCGAAGCTTTTGCGCCTGCCACGCAAAACGAGGTGGGGTCACATTCGCCCCTACCCTAGGGTCACGTCCGCCCCTACCTCCACCTTGACTAGGGGCAAGTGCGACCCCACATGAGGTAGGGGCAAATGCGGCCCCCATGCCTTCTTTTCTGGCATTCTATCTGGCATCTATTCTGACATCCTATCTGGCATCCTTCCTGGCATCTATTCTGACATTATCTCTGGATTGTTTTCGGATATTCTATCTGGCATCTACTGTGGTTCGGGCATTCTTCCTGGCATTCTATCTGACATCCCATTCTGGCACTCTATCTGGCATCTACTCTGACATTCTCTCTGACATGGGCACTGCCCTGAGATCTGGAGCTCGGACGTCCGGCATTGCCCACTGAGATCTGACTGAGATCTGGAGCTTGCGGTTGAGGTCGGTTGAGGTCCGAGATCTGGAGCCCGGAGAGGAGAGGAGAGGAGAGGAGAGGAGAGGAAAGTAGAGGAGAGGAGAGGAGGAGGCGAGTAAGTCTGATAAAATCTAGAGGCCATCATAAGGCAGGTGGGGAATGAAGGGTTTACCATTGCTATGTTTGATGAGCGGAGGGTACACCGAAAAGGGATGGTTTAGGCACCTTAAAATCATCAGCTCAGTTGGTGCCCCCTCAGTTGGAGATTTCGGCCAATTATATTTTTTCTGCTCGCGGTTTGTTGGTCAAAATGATGTGCCGATCTGGCCCCGATGTTCTATCCAAAATATATGTTCCCAAAAACATTCTCCCTGACAGCTTTCCGCCGACATCCGCCCACGTAGAATTTTTTGTCGCCTCATCCTCCATTTGCGGAATTCGCCAACGCGCGGGCTTTGCCGGCGCGAGAGGACCAGGCACAGAAACAAAGCGGTGCACTCAACGCTCACAGAGCAACTTACGGCGCAGAATCTGTGATTCAGGTGCTTTTGAACCATTGGAACACACTATGTTTAAAGGGTTTCCAGATTGTTCTCAGGGTTTTCCATGGTTTTTGGGATCTTTACAATGTGATGTGCATCTTTCTCCGTTTTCCCAGGGTGGTTGATTTCTTCTATGTCCACAAGTTTCAGCCACTTTCGGAGGTGTTCCATGGATGTCCAGAAGAAATTTTCGGGACAGCCCCATAGTTCTACCCATACTTTTTATACTTTTTCATTGTTTTTTCTTTTGAACCTCTCAAGCCTCCCGCCTCGGGGAGAATCCAAGGGGCGCAGCCACCCAGCGGGTGTCTTGCTCTGCGCGCTCTGCACGCAGCAGGGCGCAGCGCAGTTCATGCCTTAGACAAAGCGATTTGACGAAGAGAAATGAAGGACCAACGGGTTAACCAACAAAATAGTGATGTAACCAACAAAAATTGTAATTTAATTGTGTTCTTGGTGATTTGCCCAACAAACATGAGGATTTAACCAATAAAGAATTGGTGTCAAAAACCATGAAACATGATGATTTAACCAACAAATGGTGTTATACCGGGATGATGCCGGGATTGATTATACTGGTGCCAGACTGGTGATATCACAATTAAATAGTTGGATTCATGACAATCGAGAATACTAAATGGTGCGTTTTCCAGCACACCATGTTTGATTACCAGAGGGATAACTGCAACTTATCATATGACTGAACTTGTTGTATGATTTTGATACCATTACGAAACATTGTTATTGTTATAGAAATTGTTTTTGCAATTTTTGTCAATAGCTTTATTCCATTGTAGATGCTGGGTGTACCCCAGGAAGCCATTGGTTAAATATCATGTATGTAATACAGATATACCAACATGAGTTAAAATAAAAACAATAAGGGGACAATCCCACGTGTGGTGTTTATGGGAATAAGGATATCTATCCCCTGTTGGGTCGAGCTACCACTGTAGCAAGAGTATAAAAACTACTACCAAGGGAAATAAGAACAAAAAAACTAGAAGGATAACAATCATAATAAAAACCATCGTAAGAAAAGTAATGGTATGAAATATGTGCGACACATGTAGGTATTCATGGATGGCGTAAGAATCATGATGGGCGTGTGCATAATGTATAAAATGTGTATTTTGTTGGCCAGCTTTTTTTATGGGGTGCAACTACCATTTGATGAATCATTGCCTGCGATAGTTGGGTGGGTCGGCAGGCAGATTTATTTGTTGTTTTTTTTTCACGGGTTTATCGCACTCGCTGCACGCCGCAGCCGCGTTCCCGTGCTATCCTGGCAGTCCCAGCAGAAAGTGAGCTTAACGGTAGTCTATACATCGGCTTCATATGCCTGAAGGAACTAATCGGCTTCCTGCCTGAACCCTGCGGCGGA